TTACGATGATAATCGCTTATTTGAGAAATCGCAAAGCTGACAGTCCAACTCGTTGATGTAGGATCACGATCACCGTATGTATATATGCAACCGGAGGGATGTCAGATGTATAGTATATGTATTCTCGCCTGCGAGAAGTGGGCCGTGTGCACACCAGCTGTCGTTACCGAGCCTCGTTACCGTTCCCGTCACGTCAGTGGTGTGTGTTGCCGCGATAAATCTGGCATGCCCGAATCTCGCGCGTTATTACTTTGCGCTTTTACTCCGGGTAGCGCCAGAGTCAGCTGGTATATTTCATCGGACCTTGCAACCCCCGTTTCTTCGGACCGTTACACGCGCGCGTCCTTTTTATTATGACGATAATCATAATAAGACTTATCGTTGTTTCTTAAATAAAGAAGTTGTAAAACTCCGGCAGAAATTTTCTCGGATTATAAAAGCGAAGAGAAACGAGTGAGAAGAAGGAAAAAAAAATAAATAAAAGACGAAGGAAAAAAAATAGATAAATAAAAGCCGACGACGAATGGTCAAGTCCATTTCTGACTCATTACGTAAACGAAGTGTGTAAAAGAAATTATAATACTTTACTGAGGAATACTAAGGTTTGCCCAATGCCATTTTCGTCTGAGCCGCATAGTCGCGACGATGTCTTTCAACGTGGCAGACACAAAGGATAAACTTCGAGCTGGCACCGAAATTACTCGAAAGCCAGATAAAGTTTGCCGCAACTTGGGTAACAGCATGAGGTCATCAAACAATCGGGGTAGCAGCCCGCAATGAAACCGCGCTATTGCCAATTGATCGAATCGGTCCTGATTTTCGAGTCTTCGGGATAGTTTCTACTCGGCCAGGATCGATAGGGGCGGTCGTCCACGATAAGGAGCCAAGAAGTATAGCTCGAGATCAATTGAAAGGTATCGACCCCGCTTTCCAGGTGTTACCCCGGGATAAAAAATTACGTCAATTTATATCGCCCGAGTTTTGGGCGCCTTCAGCCTTCGTCGTCGCCCCACCTCGACATGTTGCGGTAAACTTTCGTCGTAACGTTAAGCCGCTTTACGAGATTACACCGTCGGCAATTTACATACAATTGAGTTACGGCGGCGGCGGCGGCACTTGCGGTACGAGAAAGGCAGTTAAAAGTATACTCCGCTCTCTGGTGTTGCCCACATATTACACGCGTGTCACGCGGAAATCTAAACGAGGCTACATCAAAATTATCGCAATTGTACAAGCTGGCGAAATTCAAGCTTATCTTTTCGGCAAGTTAGTTATTTCCAGTTCCACCCGAGTGCAGTTAAACATGAATTAATCGCGTCGAACTTTAACTCACGTATTTTCCATACAGAAAACGCGGATACGTAATATCCGGCGGAAATTTGTAATTCCGCAATAAGACGCTGTTTATTATTCTTACTTTGCTCGTAGCGCTTGTAAGAGGGAGGCAGCAAAGTTTCAAGAGAAAATACTAATTGTATACAGAAGAACGAAAATTCCAGAGACGCGCATTAATTATCGTACATACGGGTTTAGTCGCGGGAGAGGCACTCTCCGGACTTGATCTCCGGATCTGCGTAGCCAGTTTTTCGCAGCTCTAGTTAACATCGAGTGGGGAAGAAAATTTAACTTGCACCCTCGTCCCGGAGAACTCGGAAAGATAAACTCAGAAAAGTTTGTAATTGCACGACGATTACAACTTAAATATGCGCTTTAGCGCGGCCAGAGAATTTACAAGTGCCTTCTCTCTCTCTCTTTTTCGCGCGTAACAGCGTCCGGACCTCTAATGAATATTACTCTTGGATCGGTGTATCTGGCTCGTGTAACATGAGTACCCGGGCAAATCCGACGAGATATAGACCGGGGGCCCCAAGTTTTGCCTCTTTCCGCGAGCCGTATTATTAAACTTCCGGTAAGCCGAAAGCGAGCGTATTCCGGAGTCGCTTGAGTCTAAGATCGTAATAGCGAACTTTTGCCCCGCGCAGCCGGGTCGAGATTTCTCAGCCCATTCGCCAGCGGGAAACTGAGCAAAATTATTCACGGTCCAATTGATTAGATCTAAACTTGCTCCCGCAAACGTGATATCGAGCAACGCTCGGACGTGACGACGGACATTACTAACGAATGCGAGGGAGAGAGAAACAGAGATAGTGAGAAATTAACGTATCGTGTTCCGGCCAGCATCGGAATTTTCGCCAATTCCGCTTGATGAACCCGAACGTTGCGCTAGACGCGTTGACAGGCTGAAACCATCGAAATATTTCCGCACGCGCGAAAACGACGGGGGTGAGAAAGGGAGAGACACTGACGGAGCGAGAAAGCGAGGGAGAGCCGTTTGTTCCGCGCTGTTAACCGCATGTGCGATGCGCACGCGTCTATGTAACTCGGGCTCGATGACGCCGCGCAACCGGAGCAATGAATATCCGTGCGTCCCTCACGGCTCGACCAAATTAAATGTGATACACTCGTCCGCCGCGTAACGCCGGTCAGTTATACGCCGCCGCTCGGCATATTACCACTTCATTATTCTTCTTCTATTGTCAGAAAAATTGCGGTGCGAGCGATCCGCGCCAGCACCGCTCTAACGGCACTCATCTACGTACTGTAATGAAATTTACAGCGCGTTACCGCGCTTAATTTTTCGTTCCAAGTTTCGCTCGGTCACATGCGTTATGTTTGTTCATTTTGTCCTCTTTTTCTTACTGTATAATTGCTTTCAAGTTTTTTTTATGACAAACAAATAAATAATAAAAGGAGCAAATTACGGATGGACGTGTATATATTTATCTTACGAATAATAAATCTTACAAGTTTTTAAAACCAGATTAAAAAATAATAAGTAGAATGCTTGCAGTTCTTAATAAAACTAAATAATTTTACAATAAATAATAAAATAAAATAAATAATAAAATTTTTAATTTATACAAAATTTTATTGTTTTTCATTACGAAATCACGATTTAATTTCAGATATTTGCTTGAATGTTTTACAAATTTTCTCCGTAAGTTCCTGGGAAAATTTTGTGACGGGTGATGATTTTCAATCTCGTATGACATTTCGTCAAAAATATCCATTAATATGATAAAATGTTTTTTATTCGAAATTATATTTTGACACTTTTAATCATTTAATACTGACACTTCTATTTTCTATTAAATAAAATTGAAGACCAAAAGATTTTAAAAGCTCTTAATTTTCTTTTTATTAAGAACTTTTGTTCTATTTATTATTTTTGATCTAGTTTTAAGAACTTTCGAGATTTGTTCATAAGATAAATATATGCATGAATATTCGCAGTTTTCTCGCCAAGTCTTTTGTATTGTTTTTTGTCTTAGTAGTTCTATCGTTTATTTTTTACAAAATTACAATTATAAATTTACACGCGTGACAAGTAAATATTTTATTAATTCCAAATTTGCGATAAAAGTAAGCACTTTCATATTAGCTTTTTACATACTAGTCTTGCCATTTGTCTACATACGTTTTAATATATTATTTTATTAAAAGATAAACTGACGATACGATTACGATACTAAATTTCAACTGTAAAAAGGACTTTTACATCGTATCGATGTTTTCTTGATTTATGGGTCAGCCTCCGAGCTGACTACTAAAGCAATGAATACCCGGAATCGCACTGAGCAATCCATCAAGCCGAATATAATTCAGCGTCTGCATCTGACGTCATATGACGTAGTACGTTACGTATAACTAAACGCCGTTCTTTTTGTAAACGTCTCGCTCATGCGTCATCTCTGCGCTCGCCCATGCAAAGAAAATGCAAATATATACGGGTGTATGTATGTGTATACGTTACGGTTACATTATAGTTGACACGATATTACCCCGAATAGCATTCTCATATAAATTTTTACAATCGCTCACTTACAACTTCGAAATGCATGCAAACGGATTGTATGCGGAATGTTACAAACTCCGACATAATAAACTGTTCTTATTACTATAATGAAAGAGCGTAAAATTCGATATGGTTCACCTCGCATGGGAATAAAACACCCGAATTAAGCGATGCTCAGTACGACTGTAATAACAGTAGTTTTGCTCGTGCATTATCATGAAAATGTGCTAATTAAAGTAATTTTACTTTGCATGTACATACAAGCTAACAGTTATATTCCTCAGTAGCATACTCGAACGGTACTGGCTAAAAAGAAAATGGAATAATATAGAAAAACATGTAAAATGTTATATAATGTAACGCAAAAAAAAAGTCAATAAAAAGAGTGATTATTTTCTGTTTCTTTTCATGTTGAATATGATTTTTGCAAAAATATGTGTACTCATGTGATGAAAAATTATAAAAAGGGAAGCTATAAATAAACAACCCAATAATATAATCACTTTCTTGTTAAACTGTGTTATACACAATCGAGTGTGGAAATAATCGACAATTGTTTTTCCCCTCTTAATTTCACGCTTTGCATTGGAATGGCCGACTTATAACCTTTCACCTCTTCTACAATCTTATGTCTACGAGTGTGTTATCGGAACAGCTACACCATATCTCGTATACTATACACAAGAGAACAAGCGTGTGTATCCTCGCAATTCGTGACTTTGCCAACGGTACTGGCTAGTCGAGGCCGAGGCCGGTAACAGGGGCATTGTTTTTGTCGGACACGTTGCCTGGATACTAATGCGTTCGGGTACCTAACGTCCGGCTATACGTTAAGCCCGATGCGCCAACGTAAATGCGGCTTACGTCCGCGCACGATAACGGATCCTTAAACCGACATGTGTGTGCAATATCGGTTCGCGTTAACAGTAATCCGCCTCGGCGAGGCATGTCAGGGAAGGAATCGTCTATCTGCGGAATAATAAAATCTCTTTCTCTTCTCTCCCTCTTGCTCCTTTGGAATCTGCGAGATTTCGCAACCCGGTAACACGACGATAATATTCACCCTCCTTCTTTCTCTCCCCCCCTGTCCCCCTTGTTTGCGATATGCGCGCGCTCGCCGTTTTAGAAATAAATCGATATTTACCTGGATTTACGGCGTGGCAGTGGTTGAGAAGCGGCAGCCAACAGAGCAGTAGCACCGCTCTCTGCATCTGAAATCAGAATTAACGCCTATGAAATGTTTATAAGCATAAATCGCATCTATACGCTGTGAAATTAAAATTACGGCAAAAAATGTCCTAAAAAATTAATCAATTTTATTTGGATCCTTTAATGAGCTTAAGATTGATTTTTAGGGTTAATAATTATGAAGATAGTTATCGTTGGAAATTAAATTATCTCTTAATTTGTTCGCGAGTCTAATTTCAAGAGTGTAAATAGCTAACGAATATTCATTTCTAATTTACGGAGACTTAACGTGAGTTTTAATTGACAAGACGTATAATTCTTTTTGAATCCTGCGAAGTTTTCGAGAATAAATGGTAGTTTTGCACGTCAAACTCTATTTAAGAAAGATCTTTCAGCTCAAAGTTCTTTAAATTAGATCTGTCAAAGTTCATCATGAGAACGCGGATAGATTTCTTACTCTAATTTTGATCATAACAATTAATTTATTATATGGATGCAACTAACGTTCTACAATTCTGTATAATTTTAGCGTCTATTTCCTCGTAATTAATTTTTTTTTATAAAAAAAAGTTAATGAAAAGTTTCAGAGAGATTTTAAATTTAAATATTGTATAGAATTATATTTTGCATTTTATACTTCTTCGTTTTGTAGTGAAATGTTCAATATTAATTATTATTTCACACGCGCGTTAAGACCGTAATGTAAAATAACCATGGCGTTATTAATGCTTGTTACATACATCTGAAATCCTGCGAGGAACGAGAAGAATCCTACATGGTAAATGCGCCAGGAGAGAGAAAAAAATAGAAAGGGGAGAGAGAAAGGCAGGAGGAAAGAGAGAGTAAAGGCAATCCTTTACTGTTCATTGTGCTAATAAAAAATAGACTGGACGTATGCGTGCGCTTGTCACAAGAGATGTACTCATGTACGACTGCGTGGTACAAAGGCAGCTGTGCAAGAAGTATTTGCACCGAATTTTTGCAATTCGTCTCTCCGTTAACTGCGTACCCAAAAAATAAAAAGAGACCCGAATTCGTTCGCGAATTCCATATGTCTCGTGAGCAAAACGATTTTCAGCTAGATTCCGATATTACACAGTTAGGTGAGGAAATTTAAAATTGCAACATGGAGTGCCGATGATCGGAACGATATTTTGATTAATTTTCATTCAGGGAGAAAAAATGTTATCTCGTACTCTATGGCAAACTTTTATAAGTTTTAAGTTTTATAATTTTTTAATTATCTCTTTTTACTCGATCTATATCTTTGCGAGATATGCATCAAAATCTATCATTTTCATAGATTTTAATATTTTTTCCAGGTATATGGGACATATATACGATGTAAACAGTACATGCAGTGCTATGTAATATGAACGAGATTAATAAAGCGGATGGAAAAAGTCATATATTGACATGTAAATGAGAGAAATCCTGGCTCATGCATTACAAAATACAATCGATATTTGTGAATCGCGCTTGTGATTTGAATATGTTGTGCATTTCAAATCCACCACGCAATAAGGTATCTTTATGTCGATATGCAAATAAAAAGTGTCAAATACTTCTGGAACAGTTTATATCGCATTATGGTAATATATACTATCAAATCTAAATATAAATAACCTTTTTTTAAATACTTTTACAAAATAGATTGTATTATATGTATATACAAATAATGACTCAATATTCACAGTATTGATGAACTGCATTAATCTCATTTTGCAGAGAGATAGGCACGAAAGGTCGCGTCGGGCCGAAAGGTCGCACAGGTCAAAAGTGCACTGACGATTGTATTCCACCGAGCGTATAGGTTGATACGCTGTAACCTAGGTTGCATGGAATGGCCAATCAAATGAGTTCGTAAGTTCTCTTGATGTTCTCGCAATTAATGTTCCATTAATCTTATACGTTATGTGAGAAATTTAGTAAGTGAGTAATATCTCCACATGTTTCAATATGAAAATAATTTTTTGGATTAATTGATTTAATATTTTAACGTAATCGAAATAGATATTTTACATTAATTTAATTATACAATATTAATATACAATATTTAATATACAATATTAATATTATAAAATATTAATTTTATATTAATTTAATTAGATATTAATTTATACGTATGTTATGTATGTGTGCATAAAATAAAAGTAGATATGTATGTAAAAAAAAGATAATGAAACAGAAACATTTATAAATTTGCTTGATATAAAAGTAAACTGTTTTTTAATTACATACTTGTTGCAAAAGCAAGCAGAAGCAAGCTGTTTTCACCGTGTCATATCAAAATAAAGCTTAAAACGCATCGTTATAGTTCGTCTAAACGCATCGACGCAGTACAATGTCATCGGCGGTCTCATTCTATTTCGACGAATGTAACTTTTTAAAAGCTTTCGACCCATCGCGTATAGCTGTCTTTGTTAAAAATATAATGAAGATGCCATAAAGACATATGACTCATCCAACGGATCGATCGTCGTACTGTCTTAACCTTATTTATCTCTCGTGACGTGTATAAAATAAAAAGATAACATTACTTATGCGAGAATATAATCGATAAAGGTGTTTCTTTTTTCTCTCTTTTCTTTTCTTTCCATTAAAATATTCAAAATATATTTAAATGATGTAAAATATTCGGTCTGACAAAATTGGTGGAGATTGAATAGGACGGATAAAGCCTATATCTCCATAAAATGAAAAGATGTGAAGAGATTGATGTGGAATTAAAGGAAATATCCATGACAACACCCCAAAATACGCAATAACTCACGTGCCTGACAAGGAAACGTCAAGAAATCACTCCGGATTGCTGTCCGTCAACTCTTTCAAGCCTTCTATTATAGTCAGGAAAAACTGTTTTCACGTTGACACATTGGGTGACCTACTTCGACGGTACCTCTTTATGACTCGTCGCCTTATATAGACAGAAATGTTAGATAGAGCCGACTTCTCATCATGAAGCTCCGTGCCGGATAAAATAGTAGATGATACGGCATGTCAAACGAGCAGAAATATTGTATCTCGTTTTCTTTCACTTTTCAGAGTGGCCGTGTGCCAATAAACGAATCGCGCCGTTCCAGTTCGCGAAGAAACAAAAAGAGACTGACTAATATTAAAACTTGGCGTATTATCTTAAAATAAAGCTGATGATATTTCATATTAGCTGCGCCTCGTGATTCCTTTATAAAAATAAGCTTATTACACGAAATTTCGCGGAGCAAACGAATTGAAAATTTGTGCGCTGAATTATTGGAAAAAGCAAGGATATGCAAAATATCGCGGTTTCACTAGCTGTTTATGTTTGGTAAAAACGATGATTACATCTGTCAAAATACAAATTCATAAGAAAAAGAGAAAAGAACAGAAAGAGAAAAAAAATATAATTAAAAATTTTGATTTCTATAAACTTTTAGTAAATAATTCAACAGCAGAAAATTGGAATTTTCTGTTGATACAAAAAATTAAGCTTTTCTGTATTTACGCCAGATATCGTTAAAAATCAAATTAGAAAATTCTCGTTTCCCTCTTTCTTCCTCTCCCCTGCAAAATATTTTAAATCAATTTAATTAATGTTTTTGTTTATTACAATAATGCATTCTGAAAATGATTACAAATACCGCGTTATTTAATATTATTTCATCATTGTTAAAAAAAAAATGCATTTCAGAGAAATACTATATCGATACATTATTATACATACACTGTTGTCGAGTATTATTGGATGCTGCACCATTTTGCAAACAAACCGCGTGCGACATTTGCTCCGCGCTTCGTTATTCAAGTAACATTTAATGATGTTTATGCGCGCAAACCGCATGTTCTAAATATACAACATATTTCAACGATCAATGGTTGATCAAATAAGGAAGGCATACAAAAGAATAAAAAGTATTACACTAACGGAAATAATAAACCTCTTTCGACACCGCTTTGTTTCTGGCTTTGTGTGGAAAAAAGTCGTATAAATATTTCGAAAGGATTTCGCGTGACTATGTTATGACAATTGAGTACAGCAATTACATTTACGAACGAATAAAAATATTTTATGACAAAAAACAGGAAGAGAAAAATGTTGCACGAATGTCTGTCATAGATTATTAGTCTATAATAAAAAATTTCAAAGTAGTACAATGTCTTTTATATATATATATAAGTAAATATTAATATATAATTTAGATTAAAAAAAGATCTATTACAAATTTCTTATGAGCCATCGTGTGATTCTGTTTTCGACGTTTTGCATCGTCTTCGATGTAAAAGATCGTAAATATCCATAATATCAGTTCAATCGTTTTCTGTTGCTCGTCGGAATGTCATACCTCGACAAAAGCCACGCTTCTGCAATTCGAAATCTAGCAAAGAGAACTTTGAACTTATTCGGAGGCGCAAATCTGTTGCGCATGACATGATCAAACAAGGACTAAGAATTCAAAGAGCACCGATGGTCATAGAAAATGAGAACGCTAAATAGAACGTAGACAAATATTCTATAATATAATACTGGAGAGTTTCCGACTAAATTTCCGATAATGAGTATTTAAAATTTTTTAGACATGAGCCTTGCGCTTTCTCGCCAATATCCAGGAATTTCGCGCCGAAGTTTCGCACGAGGTCACCTGCTTTGAAATTCAAATTGCGCACTCGCGATCCTAGCCGATATATACTTAGCTAATATATAGGATATTTAATTTCGCCATACATTATTTATAATTATCGCATATTCATCACGAATGATTGAAAGAATCAATTTAGGATTCGAGAGGAGAAGATAAATATTTGCAACGTTTTTTTATCTGGAGAAAAAAGTTCTCTCATACATTCATATTCCAGATGATAAAGTGATATTTAAAATACGACAAGGTGCGCAGAGAAATTCTCGCATTAGCTTTAATTAGCAAGAATAATTAAGTAACCGCCAAGTCATGTCACGATCTTTAAAATTGGTTATTCAATAAGATGTAAGATATAACTCGGAGTCGCACGAGATCTTTAACAATATCTCAGGTACTGTACGTGAGACACGTAAGTTACAGCGAAGTGCTAATGCGATTCCCGACTGCTTTACAAGCCCGCGCCGCCGGCTTCGCGCGACGACGAATCATTCCGACACGAAGCAGCAATTTGAGCAGACAGCTACGTGTATCGCGTATGCACGTCGGCATTGCATTGCCGGTAGACAGATGAGTCGCGTTAAAGTTCGTCGCGTTGAAAGTTCCCGTCCTAAGCCCGCCGTTCGTTCGCAACCTGTCCAGCTGTGATTTTGCGCACGCAAGAAATTCGAACGAGCAGATTCTGCAGTAGCGGAAAGTGTAACGGAAACATCCCCGAGGCCAGCCGGCCGCAACAACGGATGTAAACCGCTGATGTAAAACTACTCTAATGGTGTGAGAGAAACTCGAACTTTTTTCCTGTCCAGTTATCTCAAAATACAAGTGTGCGCTTCCACAATTATTGGAGTAAAATCATTAAATATAGAGAGTTTTGATAAAAAAGCGCGAATAATTTTACACGTTCCTGGTCAAGGAAAACTTCGGCCGCAGACTCTTCCAAGAAGATGTCTCGTAATTAATCGAAAGAGTTCACGATAACTTAAGTCGCGAAGTCAAGATGTATAAATCGTCAAGTCACAAGATATATAAATCCAATATATATATCGTATATTAAGTTAATATTGGGTTAAAGTTTAGATCGAAAGTTGAATCGATCCAAAGTTTTACGAGCGAGTGGAAGAAAAAGGGGTGCGACGCGCGTTATTAAACTTATATTTAACTCTCGCGAGGAGAGTTTTTAATGTCTTGATACCTGGGCGGTCGTTGCTCTCGTCGGACACGTGTGTATTACGGTGATTTAGCATCGCAGCGCTATGAGGGTCGGTGACGGATGCTGCTTCCGTTGCTGTGTACCTATATAAAGCTCCATTTCGGCACGAGCGAGCAATCATAAACTCCGGCGCGACGACGTTAAATCATAAAGTAAGAACGACAATGAGACTACCACATCATTCGCAGTAGTCGCTTGCATACGGACGAAACTGTATGGGTTTGACAGATACATACGTGCAGCGACCGACAATTCTGCGCGATTGTTTCCGGAACATGGAGAGCGATCAATCTTACTTCGCTGATCCAGCTAATAAAGAACGCATTCGAAAATCGAAAAGCGAGGCCGCGTGTGATGGAATAGAAACTCGCGTCGCCGAAAGATTCATAAACCCGAGAGTTAGAGCATTCACTCGGCAAACTTGCTATCACATCTCGCGCGCGTAGAATTAATATCTCTCGCGAGTTTATTATTCATCCGCCGCGCAATTCCAATCGACTGTAAAGCTCGAGGATTTATATGAATATGACGGTACATGTGTACACGTTTGGTGTACTAAACTCAACTTGATCAAACAAAAATACATAGATAGAGAAGATCTCTGGGTTTATCTATGAAAGTAATATATCTTCCGCTGAAACTTCTACCGAGAAAGTATCACGGAGAAACTAGTGCGCGCGTTATTCGTGCAGTCATGTAGAGAACATCGGATTGATTCCGAAAACATCCGCGGCTAGTTTTCGCGTTTCGTAGTTACTTCTGATCATACTGTAAGTCTAGAGTTGAATATGCAATGATTTTTCCTCGAAGAGCGATTGAAGTTTGACGAATTCGATGCCAAGACGGATAATACAGCATTGAAAGCGAAGGAAAGGATAATAATACGATAATAAAGTGACAGAGAGCAGGGTAGGTAAGATCGGAAAATAGAACTCCTCGAATTAAGTGACACGATTATCCGCTGTCGGAATTAAAGATATGGGTGAGAGGAAAATAATTACGATACCAATGCTAGTCAAGACACTCTTAATACCTCGACA